ACACAGCACCCCCTCCCCTCAAAAGACAAAAACAAAACAACAAAACAAAAAACCAAAACCAAACCAACCAACCAAACAACCAAACAACGTCCTAAGAGCTGTTGTGGTTGCAAACAGCTTTAATCCCAGCACTTGGGAAGCAGAGGCAGGTGAATCACCTGTGTTTTTAAAGATAGCCTGGTCTATGTAGCAAGTTCCAGGACAGCAGGGTTACATAAAAGACCCTGACTCAAAAAAAAAAAAAAAAGAAAAAAAAGAAAAAAAAAAGAAAAAAAAAAACCAAACCCCCAAAAAACCCCAAACAAACCAAAATTATAATAATAGTAACAACAAAAATAAAACACAACTCTGAAGAATGTGAAATTCCTTATGTGTAGTTCTTGTACAATGTTAGGCGGTAAGGGAAGTCCATAGCCAGGTGTCATTTCAGGATCTTGAGGGTGCTATCAACTTTTCAATGGGTGCCGAGATTTGGAAAGTAGAGTCTCACTGGACTCAATTATTACTATTAGGTTGTTTTTAGGGGAAAACAAAAACAAAAACAAAACTAAAACCAGAGGCCAAGTCTAGTAGTCCATTCCTGTAATTCAGCACTCAGGAGGCTGAGGCAAGAGGGTTAGATAGGTGTTTAAGGCTACCTATCTCATGCTACAACAAAATAAAATTGGTAGCAGAATGAAATTGGGGCTTTAGGAAATAAATCCAACTCATGGAACAGCAAACTAAAGTTGGTGTCAGGTGAATAAAGTAAATCCTTCCATACCATGACTTGTATAAGAAACCATAGGGATTACTAACAATTCATAGCCATATACTATAGAAAAGACAGGCTGGCTGGTGGTGGTGGCGCACACCTTTAATCCCAGCACTTGGGAGGCAGAAGCAGGCAGATTTCTGAGCTCGAGGCTAGCCTGGTCTACAGAGTGAGTTCCAGGACAGCCAGGGCTATACAGAGAAACCCTGTCTCAAAAGAACCAAAAAACAAAAAAAAACAAAAAAACAAAAAAAAAAAAAAAGAGAGAGAGAGAAAAAAAAAGACAGGCTGGGTGGTGAGAGACAGAGGTGGGTGGATCTTTGTGAGTTCAAGGCCAGCCTGGTCTACAAAGCTAGTTTCAGGACAGCCAGGGTGACACAGAAAAACCATGTTTCAAGAAACTAAAATAAAAACACAATAATAATAATACATAAAAGCAATGCATGCATCTGATAAGAAACAACTCATTCTTTCTTTTTCCTTTGTTTGTTTGATTTGGTTTGTTTTTAAGGTCCTGGGAACTGGGCATGTAGCATGCTACATTGTACATGTAGCAAGTACTGTGTCACTAGGCTCCAAGTACTGTGTCCCAAAGTTCTAGTGGCATCCGAGTCAGACCTTGCTCTAGTGGTTGTTATCAGAGTCCTGTTAGCATTTCTTTGCTGGAGGAAGCCTCCTGTGTGTCTGTTTTGATGTCTGTCTAGTCCCCAGAGTAGTGGAACTTTGGAACTTTTTTTTTTGTAAAGACTTATTTATTTTATATATGTGAATACATTGTCACTGTCTTCAGACACAGCAGAAGAGGGCATCAGATCCCATTACAGGTCGTTGTGAGCCACCATGTGGCTGCTGGGAATTGAACTCAGGACCTCAGGAAGAGCAGTCAGTGGTCTTAACCCCTGAGCCATCTCTCCAGCCTCAGAACTTTTTATAGAACTAAACATCCTCATCAGTGTGATCTTTACAGTTTTTGGATAGCAACATAATTTACCAATTTTAAAGACACAGTTAAATAAATGAGCTAATATGATATTTATTCTGTATTAGTCAGTACATGAATCAATTCAGCTTGAAAGCTTTTTCTCTACAGAGTATTATTTCTTCACTATTAGCCTTTGATTCACAGTAATACTAATTTCAATGAGACTACAAAATGGTACTCTTACTGTTATGACGGCTCATCCACTTAACATTTCTGCAGGCAAAGAACCTGCATATGTGGCATCATGCAGCCCTTTTTCCTGTACCTGATGACAAATCAGAATGGATAAGCTGTTTATGTTCAGACTGCTCCTGCATTCAGACCCCAGCTTCTCCATCCCTTCAACCTCCTTCCTGCATTGTCTGTGGCTCTGCCTTACCCTTGTCCTGGCTTCTGTTGCCACCTCCTTTGCCCCCAACACACACGCACACGTGCACACACACACACCCTACCCAGGATGAGCTGTAGGAGGTCCTACTCTCATGGTCTTTGACAGGTGTTAGCATGTTGACTCTAACGTCACTGGGGCACCCATACTCTATGTAGATTCATTCTAATACATTTTTTGTCATCAAGGATCGTTACAAAAATTCTTTCGAAAAATGTGCGATAAAATGAAGAATGGGTTGAAAATTTTAATTTCATGTAAGAAACCTTGTTACACGGTCAAACAGGAACTTGAACCTACAGAACTCTACAACTTACACAAAGGTTATTCTAAAACTGCAAAACTGACAGATACAAAAGTCAAATCTGGGGTGCATTTAGTATTAAATAGGAAGTAGACCCCTTATTCAGGGGAGCTGACTCAAGGGACTTTTCAAACAACAGGGTTTGGAAGTCTAACAATTATATTAAAAATTCTGCCATAATCCCCTAAAAAAATTCTCAACTATAAAAAAAAATAATAAGGCAATTGGAAATCAGACACTTGCAGATGAAATGAAGTCTGGGCTGGATGCACAGGCAGGGCTGGCCCGGGGCCTTCTCACAGGCCACAGAGCTAATGAGCCTCTAGCAAGAAGGCTCTCTCAGTACTGTGGAGACCGCATTGTCTTTCAGAAGTAAAGCTGCGTCTAAGACCCCACTAAGCAGTAGCCCAGCTAAGATCATCACCCTCTTCATGCTGTCAAGCCCATTACCTGGGAGGAAAATTATGCAGACAGCTTTTCTGAAGAGATCCATTTGTGCCACATGCTTATTATTCTTGGAGGTGGAGGAGGTGGCAGAGAACATGATTTCTGTTGGAAAGGTCTTTTGTTTTCTGCTGCCTTTACTTAAATGTTACTGGGGACTATTTTTAATATCCTAAAAAAGTGCTTTGAACAAATGTTAAGTGAATAGTCACACACACACACACACACACACACACACACACACACACACAAATCACGGCAAGCGCTTATATCCTCTGTGCTGTAAGAAGCCGGGTGAATAATGCTTGACTTAAGGGGGTGAAGAGAATACACTGGGAAATTATCAAGGATCTGATAGACGCCCCCAGCCTTAGGAAATTCTGAGTTCAAAAAGAAATTTAATCTTAGCTAATGTTCATTAAAGGCAAATTTCAATGAAAATTAATGTACGTGTCTTAAGTTGATGCCTTTAAACGGGTCAGTTTAAGGCCCCAAGGGTGTAAAATGAGTCAGAATTTTTCTATATATTTTGCATAGAAAGTCAAACTGCTTGAAATACATCTCATTACCAAAAAATATTTTATGGCAGACTTCCAAGCCACCACTCTGGCTCCTGCTTACTTTTGTAACAACAGAATAGTTTGGCTCATCCTTAAATTCACTATCATTTGGCCATAGAGCAGACACACTAATGAATTTCTGCATTCTGCTTACAGATTGAAATTCTGTTTAAGTTCTCAGAAAATCCAGAGAAACTACTTAAGAATAAAGGAGAATATATTTTCTTATAAAAACAATGAATTATAATAACATATTCTAACCAAAGGTGTACTTATCAAACAGCAGTGTAGGGAACACACACACACACACACACACACAACCTGAAACCCAGGGCTACTATCTTACCCTCAAAATTACAAATTTATTTTGTGCCTGCTTTTCAAAATCCCCCAATCCAAAATACCTTCAATAAGTAAGAGCTTCTTATTTATAGATTTTACTCGTTCATAAGAGATTAGAAACAATGTGAGTTGAATGTGGCTCTCCTTGGAGCCATTCTTTTAGTAAATTGATACAGAGTTATTTAAAGAACTCCAAAGTGCACCAGCTTTAACCAGGCTTTTAAAAGTTCATTTTAAACACAGTTGCTGGTAGCTATCTTTATACAAGTCTATTAGCACCATCTTTCAAAGATGATTTAGAAGTGATTTTTGGTTTTATGCCTAAAAGGAAAACAATTAAAATAAGATTACTGAAGGGGTCATGTGTTTTTATCTAAGTTGAATGATATCCCCGTCACCGATTAAAAACATGAAGACAGGCAAGCCTGAAGGAAATATTTTCACACTCCGGCCAAGAATCTTGCTAAACATCCACCATTTGGTTACATTCCAAAGCCACATTACTTTTGCACAAGATCACAATATGTATTTACAAAATAAAAGTATAAGAAAAAGCAGCGTATCCATATGCAGTCCATAAACACAGTGTAAATGCAGAGCAGATGAAAATCAGTGGGCTCGCTGGGCAATGGTGGTGTACAACTTTAATCCTAGCACTCCGGAAGCAGAGACAGGAGGAACTCTAAGTTCGAGGCCAGCCTGGTCACAGAGCGAGTTTCAGGATGGCCAGGGCTACACAGAGAAACCCTGTTTTGAAAACAACAACCAAATAAAAAACAAAACTAACAACAACCAAACAAACCAGTGGTGTTCATGCCTCAAGAGACGCTCTTCCACAGACACTGTACCATGTGTACTGCATCTTTTGTAACAAGTTAGTAACACTGTCACTTAGTTTAGATAGTGGGGTGGGGTGCTGTACAATATGAACCTGACCTGTGGGGTTGGGAAGTGTGTTACAGTGTTGTGTCTAGACGCCATGAAAAATACTGGTGTTGAAAATCTAGGCTTTCGCGTGAATTTTGACTTTGTATTCAGTTGATTACATAGTTTATATTTGGCCAAGAACTATTTTCACAAGAATATTACACTTTCCTGGCCCTTTGGCCAGGCAATGGTGACCCACGCCTTTAATCCTGGTCAGCACTTGTGAAGCAGAGGCAGTCGGATCTCTGTGAATTTGAGGCCAGCCTGGTCTATAGAGTGAGTTTCAGGACAGCCAGGGTTACACAGAGAAATCCTATCTTGGAAAAGCAAACAAAAAATAAACAGAAAAAAAAAACTAAAAAGAAAAAGAAAACAAAAAACCCTAAAAAGTAGCTCTGCTAAGGGAATCTTTTGCTATCTGGGAAGTTTGCCTCCTGGATAAAAAAAAAAAAATACTATTTCCCTTTTGACTTCTGGGAAGATAGGTCTACTCACAGATGGATATGTACAGGTCTGCTGGGCAGAAGGACGATGGGGAGAGCAAAAACACTCCCTGTATCTATGCTTACACACTTGTTACTATTTGCCTGGCCGAAGGAACCTGTGAATGGCTTTTATACAGAATTTGTTCAAGACTAGAAAGGCCCACTTACCCGATGCATCCTTAGAGACAGCAGGGAAAACCCTGTAAAAGGAAAGTGAACGTAGTGTTCACCTATAACACAGAGTCGAACCATTGGAAAGAAACCCAGACTAGGTGACATTAGAGAACCATACCCAATGCTCAATAGTCTTCCCTCCTCAAAGCACTGGGCTATCCCCTGACATTTCCTCACCTTCCCGTAAGTCACTTCACATTGTGATCTGTGCTGACTCCCTCCAGTCCAGAACTGATTGTGTTTCAGTGACAAGAGTTTTACAACCTTCACTGGTTCTTTAGCACTTCTGGGCTGGAACTGTATCTTTAGAGTCCACAGATGATAAGCCACTAATTCATTACTGAGAAAGAAGTGCCACAAATGTATAAAAGAATTCATCTTTTAAGGTTTTTTTTTTTCCTTTCTTCCTGTGACCTGGAAATGAAGTCACTGGAACAGCGTATTTATTTGATTATCCTCGGAAACCATTTCATTAACCAGCTGTTCTACAGATAACTCGATAGCATTCTTGACGAGAGAAGAAGCTGTTTCTATTAAGAGTGTTTCATACTGTTCTGAAGTTCTCCCCTCAAAATCACTGTCATTAGCAAAAACCCCCACTTGCTCATTTTCCATTGAAATTAGGAATTGCTTAGGGACATTTTTAGATTTCTTAACATCAAATTCACTGATTTCAGTGTCTGTAATGATAATAGCAATTGGCTCCATTCTTTTGCTTTCTTCTGATCTTGGTTTCTCTGTATCAATTCCATTTTCTTTCAGATCTTTTACCTGGCTCAATACAGCTTCCTCTGCCTGACCAACTGTGGGTTCCTCTGCCTGGACAACTGTGGGTTCCTCTGCCTGGACAACTGTGGGTTCCTCTGCCTGACCAACTGTGGGTTCCTCTGCCTGGACAACCGTGGGTTCTTCTGCCTGACCAACCGTGGGTTCCTCTGCCTGGCCAACCGTGGGTTCCTCTGCCTGGACAACTGTGGGTTTCTCTACCTGGACAACTGTGGGTTCCTCTGCCTGACCAACTGTGGGTTCCTCTGCCTGGACAACTGTGGGTTTCTCTACCTGGACAACTGTGGGTTCCTCTGCCTGGACAACCGTGGGTTCTTCTGCCTGACCAACCGTGGGTTCCTCTGCCTGACCAACCGTGGGTTCCTCTGCCTGGACAACTGTGGCTTCCTCTGCCTGGCCAACCGTGGCTTCCTCTGCCTGGACAACTGTGGCTTCCTCTGCCTGACTAACTGTAGCTTCTTCTGCCTGGACAGCTATGGCTTCCTCTGCCTGGCCAACTGTGGCTTCCTCTGCCTGGCCAACTGTGGCTTCCTCTGCCTGGCCAACTGTGGCTTCCTCTGCCTGGACAACCGTGGCTTCCTCTGCCTGGCCAATTGTAGCTTTCTTTGCTTGACCTACTGTTGCTTTCTTTGCCTGCCTGACTGCAGGTTCTTCTGCCTGGCTCAGTTTACCTTCCTTTGCCTGACTCAATACCATCTCCTTTGCCTGGGCCACTATAGCTTCCTCTGGCTGTTTCAGTTTACCTTCCTTTGCCTGACTCTCTGTCTGGATCACAGTAGCTTCCTCTGCATGGCCCACTGTAACTTCTGCCTGGCTTAGTATACTTTTATCTGCCTGGCTGACTGTAGCTTCCTCTGCCTGGCCCAGTGCAGTCTCTTCTGATTTCTTTCCCTCAGCTGCAGTCTTTCTCCCTCTGTCATCTTTCCCACTTGATGCACTTTCCCAGATGTCGTCACTGGGTTCTTCCTGACTGCGCTGATGCTGATGCGTGGTTGCCGGTGATGGGGGAGCAGCAGAAGTCTCTGGCCAAGGGCTCCCTGCTGCTGAATTCTCAGGTAGACTTGCTTGCTGTGGCTGTACACTTTGCTTTTCCATAATCACTTTAGCCTCCTTTTCAAGCCCTGGAGTTCCCATCTGGATAGCGGAAGACTCATGTTCTAATTCCAGTTCTATGGCAATCACATTCTCTCCTGATGGGACGCTGTTGCTTACATGTGATTCTTGGATCTCCTTACCATCTCTCACCAACACACTTTCCTGTAGGTCCTGGGTGGACCTAGTCTGGACTGCCTGGTCATCTGGCTGGGTCTGGGCTTTTATCTCTAAATCGTCTGCCTCTCCCTGGACTCTGACGTAACCCGAATCTTCTGTAAGTTTGGAATGACGACTTCTCTTTGCCCCTCTTGAGAATCTTATGCATGGAATCTTAAGTCTGGATTTTGCCTTTTTCTTAGGAAGAGCTCCATCCTCAGGCTGCACCTCAGCCTCAGATGGCTTCTGCTTCTTTGCAGACTCCGACCTTTTCCTGTGTGTCACAAGGTGTTTGATGGAGGCCCAGGCGCCCGCTGGTTGCCGCTGACCAGAACCCCCAGCTTCTGGGGCATGCTTCTTTGTCTCCTCAGCAGTCCTGGAGCCAGCTTTGGCCTTTGGTTTGTTCGCTTTCTTTCTTCTCTTGAAGCATAGTGTGGCTGTTTTTCTCTCCTGCCTCTCTTTCTGAGGACTGGCTGTCACTGGTCTCTTCTCATCCTTAGACTCTATTTGAATCTCAGAAACGCTGGTCTCCATTTTGACACTGCACTCTTTCATTCTCTGGAAACGTGTCTTCTGTCTTCCTCCTTAATTCTTTTGTGACAAGAATATCACACCAGGTCCGATTTCTCCTACGTGCCCACTCTCTTCTCGCACCACAGTTATTTCTCTGTGACTTCTTCAGGACACAAATGCCTTGTTCATCTGCTGTCCACGGTGTCTTCTTTAATTTACTCTTTGAATGAAAGCACTTTCCTGGATAAACTTCTCCTTAATTTAAAGTCCAACCTGATGAGAGAAAAAAGTAGGGTTTATTTCAGGGTATTTATTTTATTATTTTATTTTGTTTGTTTTTTCGAGACAAGGTTTTTCTGTGTAGCTCTGGCTGTCCTGGAACCCACTATGTAGCTGAGGATGTCCTTGAACTCAGAGATCCACCTGCCTCTGCCTCCCAAGTGCTGAGATTAAAGGCATGCATCATTGCTGCCTGGGGGAAGCCTATTACTTTTTAAAATATAAACTGTATCATATGGGGCATGCATTCCACAGAAAGTATGTACTAAAACAGCTTGTGGCTACAAAGTGACGCTTGGTTTTGCTCTATCGAAAAGATTCCAGTGTGAACCCAATTTTGTCAGGTTTGGGGTCACTCTGCAAGTGTGCCTAGTTATCTTCTCCATGAATTGTTTCCGGTCCCACATGGAAAGTTTAGCAAATAACAAATAAGAGAGGGTGAGGGAGGCAGGACCGCTGACTGTTGTCTCATCACACAGTGAAGAACACTGACTCGGACTTGGGAGATGACTCAAGGTGAAGTAATGACATAACTGAGCTCCCAATGGGCATCTGGGGCTTGCAAAAAGCCCTAAGCTAGATAAGGATCTAGGCGGAGTTAGAAGTAGAAAATTTGACTCTCTGGTGTTCGTTCTATTGTAGCATAAGGATTCTGTTCTAAAAATGTACATTCCACCAAGGAGGCGCTACTTTCCATACATACTCTCAGAAAAAGAAAAAAAAAATCCAGCATCACCGCTATTCTCCACTCTTCAAGCCGTTGTGTAACTTTGACATTTTCAGCCAAGCGGCTGCTACTCATGTTTCCCCACTGTAACTGCACACAGCTGGAGGTGAAGGCAACAGCCAACGCTGGTTGCGCGACTCCCGTGTACGAGGAGGCAGCAGCGCTCACACTTTCACACCCATCTCTAACCTGCACCGCAGTGTTGCAGAGTGAGGAGGTGGTGATATCTCCATCTGCAGTTAAGCAGCATGCCTGAGATTACAAAGCTAGTCGGTGGAGACAGGGCTCAGATTTAACCCAAGACTGCCTGTTTCTGAACTGCATTCCTCACTGAGCTTGGAGGTCCAAGAGAAAACGAATTGCTTTAAAATGCTAATCTGAGACTGGTTGTGTCCAGCCATGACTGTAATTCCAGCAAGTGGGAGGTAGAGCCAGGAGAATCAGTCAAGGCCATACACATAGCTATATAGTATAGTTGAGGCCAGCACCAGCTATGTGTGAGACCCTGTCTTGAGAAAGAAAAATGTATAAAACTAAGCTATTGGTCTGGGCACATAACTCAGTAACAGAGCATTGGCCTAACACGCCATAAGGTCCTGGGTTTGATCCCTAGTGCCACTAAAAAATAAATAATAATAATAATAATCTCCAGAAATGGCAAGGCTTAAAGTACAGGTATATGGAGCCGGGCAGTGGTGGCGCATGCCTTTGATCCCAGCACTTGGGAGGCAGAGGCAGGTGGATTTCTGAGTTCGAGGCCAGCCTGGTCTACAGAGTGAGTTCCAGGACAGCCAGGGCTACACAGAGAAACCCTGTCTCAAAAAACCAAAGGTGACTAGCTAACAACAGCTCCATTAATTTTAGGTGATAGATAGCCTGAGTTAGGCACAGGGGCTCCTTCCTTTCGTGTATATTCTTCACTGAGCTTTCACTTGGGTACCAGTTCCTAATTGTATGTAGAACTGGAACCCTGAAAAATCATTTTAAGAGCTAAGGATTTTTTTTTCTTTTTAAGGATAAGTATTGAATGCTTCATCTTCCTACAAAGAAACATAAAATTCTAGATGAACGATGGAACTAATATAAGATTCTTCACACACCTTAGCAGTAGAACCCAGTCTTAATGGTTCCAAGTCTTCTTTCCCTGAGCCCTCAGCGCCCTAGACAGCATTCCTTCTAAGCAGAGGATGTGTGTATTAATAGAAGAAATATTCAAATGAGATTATATTCTAGAAAGTGTCTGAAACTAACCTAAATGGCCTAGATGATTGCACGAGAGGCTTTTAACGTACATCATTTAGAGATCAACCCCCCAACAAGTGTACGCGAAGCAGGGAAAGGATGCAGCCTGCTGGCGTTAAAACTTTGCAGAGTGTTAAGACTGCAAATGATTCGCCTTTACCTTCGAGAGGAGCACTATCGTCTTGGAAGCCTTAAAGTCCCTGTTGTCCTTTCCCTCGTGTCTAAGGCCACAGAAAACAACCACAATCCCTTCCCCCTTGAGCAGCAGAAAGCAACCACTATCAGAGCAAGGAACATTTCCCAGCAGTAGACACGAACCGCGAAGCATCCTCCCGGAGGAAGGACTCTGCAAGCTATGGCAGGAGACAGAGCTCAGGATAAAGTGCTCAGAAAGGAAAATACCGGGGGCGTGGAACAGATAGCCCAGCTTCAAGCTATCTGCAGAATTATCATAGCCCGAAGCCGAAAATCACTGTTCCCCAGAAAACCCCTAAAGAAGGAAAAGGGTTAGGCAGCTGGTGCCAAGGCAGCAGCTGCAACGCGTGCGAAGCGAGCGGGCGGCAGAACTGCCCAGGGTCACCCACCTGGAGCCGCCTGAGGATCGGCGACCTTGCAGTCGTGTCCCTCACAATCTGGTGACCAGGACCCCGGGTCTGCCGCCGTTACCTCGGCTCAGTGCACCAGATTCTGACCCAGAGCTTCTGGTCTTGCCTCTACTTACCCAGATCCTCGAGGTCTTAGGCCAGTCCTGCTCCCGAGGTCGAGGAGCACGGGCCCCAAACAACCGGGAGCCGGGGACACCACGGAACGCGCAGCCCTCTGCAGAGGGACCGCAGCCGCGCGCCCCCTCCCCAGCGCGGAGAGAGACAGCTGGCCGCGCCAATGCGCGTGGAGCAGTGGGGCGGGGCTACGGCCGGGGGCGGGGTGAACTCAGCCAGCCACCTGCCAGCCGGCAGTCCCGCCGCCGGGGAGAGACCTCCGTGCTCCCGCCCCGGACGCATCCCCGCTGCATAATGACATCAGGGTCCGGGTTGAGGGACCACTAAGGCAGAGCAGGAGGACTGCGAGAAGAGGGTAGAGGCCCCTATTTCCTGAGACGCACATCCGTTAAAAAGCCTGTTTGAATTTATAAGGTTCCCACTGTGAATCCCTTTGGAACATTAAAGACAAGGTAGAAAGCATATCTTCAAATAAAGATTGATGGGAAAGGTGGCTCAGAGGTGAACAGCAGGGGATTTGTGTGAAGCAGAGAATTTGAGTTCGATCTCCATACTCACAACCACCTGTAACCAGCTCTAGCGGGATCTTTTGCAAAAACAAAATTAAAAAGCAAGATTCATAACAGTACAGAGACAGTAGGGGGTGGGGGAAGACGTTTTATTTTATTTTTGTCAAGACAGGGTTTCTCTGTGTAGTCTTGCTTGTCCTCGAACTCACTCTGTAGTCCAGGCTGGCCTAGAACTCACAGAGATACACCTGTACCTCTGTACGACCGACCTGGTACTCACTATGGACCAGACTGGTATTGAACTCACTGAGACCCACCCACCTCTACCTCCGGAACCACACATGGCTATCGAGAAAATTACGCGCATGGTGAGAAACAGAAACAACCTTGCTAAACAGGATCTCCGATCTGGTACTGGTACAGTCCTCACTCTGGAACAGGACGTGTCAGCTCAGGTGGAAAGCAGCACAAATACAGCTCTGTGCACACACGGTGTGGCTTCCCCAGGTCAGGGCCGGTGGCTTTGAGGTATTTTCAAAAGCTGAGGTCCTGTAAGTTATGCTTTTGACAGTCTCTCATTCAGCTGCCTCTAACTCCTAAGTGCTAAGACCACAGGCTGGTTTCACCGTGTACAAACCTCAAGCTCTGTACATACCAGGCAAATGCCTGTATCAGTACCCTTTGCTCCAAATGGGACTGGAAGAGTGAGTGCCCTCCTCTCCATCTCCACTTGAGAGGAACAAGGTGAGCGGACCCCAAGGAAACAGTAATCTACCCGTGCTTCTGATATGAGATGTCAGATGGGGTGTGGTCTGTGTACCCCTCACCTGTGCTCACCTGTCAACATGGATGTGGTGCTCCAGCTGATCTCACCCTCCTCCAGGGCGCCTCCTAGCACGGAGCTCAGAAGCCCCGGTAACATGGGAGAACAAGAACCCTTCCCCTTTCTTAAGTAGACCATGACCTTTGGGAGGTCAATCTCAGATGCCCACTTGCGGATGTTTTTTCTAGGAATATATTTTACCTTCCTCAGATTCTCTAGTCTAGATTTACTCTACCAAGACCTGGTAAGGAATAAACTCTTGGCTCACAAAACAGAGCCAGAGGACCCAGGTTCAATTCCCAGCACCCACATAGCAGCTCACAAACATCTTTGACTCTTGTTTCGGGGAATCTGACTCCCTCACATATGCAGGCAAAGCACCAATGTACATAAAAGAGAAATAATTTAAAAGAGAAAGACAGGTGGGCTGGACAGATGGCTCAGTGGTTAAGAACACTGACTGCTCTTCCAGAGGTCCTGAGTTCAATTCCCAGTGACCACATGGTGACTCACAACCATCTGTAGTGGGATCTGATGCCATCTTCTGGTGTGTCTGAAGACAGCTAAAGTGTAGTCATATAAATAAATAAACCTTAGAAAAGAGAGAGAGAGAGGGGGGGGGGCTCTTCTTGATTTGCAGAGGACCAGAATTCAATTCCCAGTGCACATTTCAGACCTCTATAACTGCCCTTAACTTCAGGCCCTGTACACACACACACACACACACACACACACACACACCTCACACTTGTTGAGGAACTGAGGATGAAGATGCATTTGCCTGGTGTGCACCAAGCCTGGGTTTGGACACGGTGAAGCAAGCGTTTGATCTCAGTACTTAGGAGGTTGAGACAGTAGGATGAGACTTTCAAAGCCAGCCTGGGCTACATAGGGAGTCTAAGGTCAGCCTCGGCTACTTCAGGCCCCATCTCAAAAAATCCAAATGAATTTGATTTAGCCTTTGGTCAGCCAGCAAACACAGGCGTGTGAAATGGTCTCTCTATCACGTGCCAGTTGTATGTTAACCCTGCTTCTGGCAGCTTTGAACTTGAACAAGCTGGAAGAAACTTGTAAGTTTCTTGAGATCGGCAGACCTGGGAGTTGGCAGTCAGTTTAGGAAAAGGAGGCTCATCCAGATGAGGATGGGGTGACCTAGCTATCTTATTAGAGGGCACTTGGAGCCAGGTGTCGTAGTGCAATCCCAGGACTTGAGGAGCGGAAGCAGGACAGTAAGTCCCTAACCAGGCTGTGCTACATAGCAAGACCCACTCGGAAAAAGGAAAGAGCATCAGGCAATGAGACGCAGGCTGAAAGCGCAGCACTGAGGAGCATCTTAGAAACCCAAGTGTGGCTCTCCTGCACCTGCTTTGCCCTTAGAAGTACAGGAGCTGAGCACAGTCTAAGGTAAGAGGCGGATTACCTCATGTTCTAAGGGGAAGTAAGATTTGATCGATAACTTATCTGACATCTCTTTCTCTCATGCATACACAATGCCTCCAGTAAAGGGAATGAAAGAGAGAAAAAGAGAGGGAGAATATTACTATAAATAAAAATCTGCATTTTGGCTTGTCTTTAGGATATGGCTAGAACTTGAGGCCAGATGTTTGAACAATGCACCTCATACACAAAAGAGAAAGAAAGCTGTCGGCCCTAGACACACTTAGGTGACACGGCCATTGAAGCTATTACTGTATTATTGCCTACTACTCTACCTGAATTATGTAAGTAGGAAATGAGCTATAAATACCTCCCCAATCTGACGAGGAACTAACCACCTCCCAGCTTATCTTATTAGTGTCACAGAGACAGCGTGCCAGTGACACAGCCTGCATATGTATCTGAACAGCACTGAGCCGACTACACCACCTCTTCCATTCTGGCCCGCATCCACAGTCCAGGCTTTTAGCTACAGTGGTCTCAACTCCTCACTAACAATGTGTATGTCCTTGATCTTCCTCAGAATAAGCCTTCTGCAGTATCTTTCTCTGGCACACCATCTAATGAGCCTGTGGCCCCAGGTCCTTGGTGGTTTGATCTATTTGTGGGCACAATGAAAGCTGCAGGGAGCCAAGTGCCTTACTTGTCACTACACACATATTGCTGTTATCCTTACATGGTGTCTATATGAATCTTCAGTGTACAGCATCAGAATTGCTACCAAGAGGCACAACCTGCTTGTCAGGGACCCTACCAATCTGGAGAGGGGAGGGCCAGCGTGGGAACCCTTGGAACTGGAGGAACTGTGCTAGGCCCGTGCTGAAGGGATAGGACTTGGGCCGGTGACACTGACAGGTCCTCAGTACACCGATTCTTCTCTAGGTATTTGACACAAGTGGCTGAAGATATCTTACGCCTTTTTTCACCGTGGAAACAGCCTCTGAGAGCTTGTGTTTGTGACACCTTTGAGCAAAGATCCAAGAGTCAGTTGCATAAAATCCTTGTCCACGAGGACTGCTCAGCGGCCACCCTGACCTCATTTCTTCTCTAAGTTTCATGCACCTTGGTTACCTCTTCTTTATGGAGGCAAGCGGAATGGATCCAGTTTCTTCTTTGTACAGCTTGGTAGGAGCTGCCTTCTAGGAACTGCTGAGAGCCAGCAGAGAGCAGAGGCTTTGGAATAAGGTGACAGCAGCAGGCACCAGAACTGGAATCCTGAAATGCCTTTCTGTAAAATGAGGATAGAAGCCTAATTGATTACAGTTCCTCTACACATTTCCAAGCAGGTGTCAGCTCTTGTTAGGAAGCAGTTTCATTGGCAGGAGTTAGCTGTGTGGATGCTCGCACATTAGTTGCAAAGGCACATGAGAATTTCCCATGTTATTTGTGAATGTGTGTGTGTGTTGTGTGTAGCTATTGATCAAACCCAGGGCCTTACACAGGGCTGGAGGGATGACTTAGCAGTTAAGAGTGTTTGCCGCTTTATTGTGTAGACTGGAGTTAGGATTCCAGTATCCAGGTCAGGTAGCTTGTAGATGCCTGGAACTCCAGTTCCAGGGGACCCAGTGCCACCAGCTCCATAGGTGCCAGCTTGTTCTCCCACAGATGCACATAATTAAAAATAATTAATCTGCTTTTTCTTTCTTTTTTCCCCAAGACGGGGTTTCTCTGTGTAGCCCTGGTTGTCTTGTCTTGGAACTTGGCTCTGTAGACCAGGTTAGCCTTAGACTTAGAGATCTTTCTGCCTCCCAAGTGTGGGGACTAAAGATTTATACCACCACACCCAGCCTAAAATCTTAAAAGAGAACTAAAACCCCATGCTTTTAAATCCAAGCACTCTGAAGGCAGGAACAGGAGGACTTCTGTGAGTTCAAAGCCAGCTAGGTTCATAGTGAACTTCAGGCCAGTCCGTGAGTGATACACAGTGAGACCTTGCCTCAAAAAACAAACAAAAAAAAGAAACTTTAGGGTCTGAAGAGATCCTGAGGTTGAAAGCATGTGCTACTCTAACAGAGGACCCAAGCTTGCTCTCAGCACCTAGGTGAGGCAGCTCACAGACTTCTAAGGCTAGCTCCAGAGAACCCCTTTAGCTTCTACAGGCTCCCACACATATGAAAATAAGATAAATTAAAAAAACAAAACAATGGCCGGGCGGTGGTGGCACACGCCTTTAATCCCGGCACTTGGGAGGCAGAGGCAGGCGGATTTCTGAGTTTGAGGCCAGCCTGGTCTACAGAGTGAGTTCCAGGACAGCCAGGGCTACACAGAGAAACCCTGTCTCCAAAAAACCAAAACAATAGAGCCTTTAATACA